GCTTCAGATCGCACCTCACCTGCCCGCGACAACATTCTGCCTGTGCCACCATGAAGCTGGTGAGTTTCACAGTTAATAGCCTTGGCCATATATGTGTTTACTTATACAATTGAACTGATATTTCATTGGAACGTGACCCACAAATGGCAAATTGGTAGTTAGTGGAAATTTAACACTTTCGGAAAGCACAAAGGAAGTTCATCGTAGGTCTCCAAAACACTTTATTGTAATTCACCATGGAACAGTGTCCTCAATTTCTCTATAAGCCAGCCCTCTCACACAGACATCACGTAGAATACATATATTCTACGTGATTATATATATATATCGCTTGGGCGTACTGGGCCCTTGAAAATACCCTTCTTTCAATATAAAATTTCTGAATCCCTTGAAACGCTTAAGAGAGGTCCTCTTCCAATTACTTGTTTTAAATTACATTATTCACGATTCTGGGGTTTTAAAATAATCAGTATTATGTGTTTGGTTGTGTGTTTCCCCCTACGCCTAAATAGGTGTGCATTTGTATATCTAGGTAGACATATGTGTAGAAATGTAGGTATATAGATACAGATACATGTGTATGTATACATGGATGATGTATATACTTATGTGTGTATATATATATATGATACGTATGTGTTGTATATGATATACATGATAGGTATGTGCTGTATATAATGTAAATGATAGGTATGTACTGTATATGATATATATGATAGGTATATTCAAATAGGTTAATGTATATAATATATATAATAGCGATATATAGGTCAGGAATATGTTTGAATGTATGCACACACGCTTGTTATTATCATTTGTGTTTGTATAAATTCTGGTAAATAACATACGTTGCAGTCATTACACTTTTTTGTGATGTTAATACTACTAAATATATTAACATTTCTACCACATCGCTAAATTTCAGTGACACTTGTACTTATGATATGAAGTGTTTTCGTTTTTTTTAGGATAAGAATCACCCTATCAACATATCGTTTACTAGCATAATTATCATGTCCATTATTTTTTTCAGACTGTCCTCTTTGTTGTGGCTATGGCCCTGTATGGCCTTGGTTCGGCTCGCGCCATTCCCAAGCTTTCCACCGTGGCCGACCTTCTTCCGTGGACAGTCCTTTCTCCGTGGCCAACCGTTCTTCCGTGGCCAACCCTTTCTTCGTTGCGAGACCTTCCGCGGCCAACCCTTATTCCGTGGCCGAATCTCATCCCGGTGGACGACCCTTAGGTGTGCCTTCTTCTGAGCCTGAGAATCCACACCTCTTGGGAGACTGTATTTGTATTATAATATGTATAAATTGTTAACTTGCTGTCAATGCTGTAGTTGAAAAACGACCCATGTCTAAGACTTATACAAATGAAATCAAATATCTTATTAGCATAGAAAATCAAGAAATGGACAGGAGATGCAAGTAGAGAGAAAACAGATATCCAAATATGGAACATCAGTAAGAGCAATAAAGTATAAATCAACCTTGGAAATCTACACAAACCTGCAAATGATACGAAACGGATGCAGGAATACTCACTGAATTAAACTGCAACAATAAGCCTATTTGGAAAACAGCGTTTTTTATTTCACCTTATCACACCGTGTATGACTGAACTGGTGATCTTACCAATCAGCATTAGCCAAGGATTGAATGAAATATATAAAACGAGCAGTATACAAAGCAATTTCTATATCTAATGAAAATTAGCCATTAGATCGTGAGTTTGACGTCACAAGGAGACGTAATAAGTTCTGAAAATGACTGTTGAAAAAAGAGGTTATCTAATCCCTTAAATTCTAAACTTTCGCACTTATATATTCCCTATATATTGTCAGATGCACTCACACAAACACATGCAGATACAAAAACTGAAACATTCTGATTATGTTTGTATATGTAATAGGGCTGCCATATGAACCTTCAGTATTATATGCCAGTTCAACTGCCAATATAAACACACGTACACATACATACATACGACCAGACCATGGTTTGACAAATTGCCTTCGGAACTTGTACGCTGCAAGAGACATAAAGGGGAAAGCCGTTTCTCCATTTACTTGAGATTGAATTAAGATCTTAAACTTAAGATCTAAACTCATCTCGTGTATTGTTAGTTTCGACTTAAGGGATTAGATAACCTTTCGATGGTGTTTTTCAACAGTAATTTTCAGAACTTATTAACAGTTGCCCTGTGACGTCAAATACAAGATCGAATGGGCTAATTTTCATTCACTTGAATAGATATTAGGTAAAGAAATTACTTTGTATACTGTTTGTTTATATTTAATTCGTCCATTGACTTGTGCTAATAGGCAAGATCAGTTCTGCTGTATGTGGTGTGATAAAGCATAATAAAAAAACGCTGTTTTCCAAATAGGGTTATTGTTGTAGTTTATTTCAGCAAGTATTCCAGCTTGTTTTCTGCATAATTTGCAACGGGGATTTCTAAGCATGTATAGATTTCCAAGGTTAGTCTATACTTCATTGCTTTTGCTGAGGTTCCATGTGTAGATATTTTTCTCTCTATTTTTCATCTCTTGCCCATTTTTTTATTTTTAATTTTTAGTAAAATGATTTATTTAACTTGTTTAAGTCTTGTACTTAAATACATATTGTAATACATACACAGTCGTTCAAGAGGTGTGCATTCATGGGCTCAAAAGAATGCACACCTAAGCGAGGTCGTCGGGGAAGGATCGCTCACCGAAGAAGGGTCCGTAATTTGTTGGTTTGTAGTGATGCCCTATGATGCGGGATGACGTCGCCGCCCCGGATGCCCTGAGGATGCGCTGAGGATGCCTTATGATGCGGGATGACGTCGCCGCCCCGGACGCACTGAGGATGCCCTGAGGATGCCTTATGATGTGGGATGACGTCGCCGCCCCGGACGCACTGAGGATGCCCTGAGGATGCCTTATGATGCGGGATGACGTCGCCGCCCCGGACGCGCATCTATGAACTTACGCAGGAACAATATTTTGGGACACCTAAACTCCTATAGAACAGTCTCCCATACCTGTCGTTCTCTAATACGTAACTGGCCAATCAGAATTGCTGGTAAAAGGCCTAATGACAACTCAGGCCTAAAAGTCTATAAAAGGGGGGGCATATGACCTTTAACCCCTCTCTATCATTTTCGCTTGCTTGCTCACTTTCTACGCTGCCTGTGGGACGGAACGAGCTTGTCTAGTGCTGGAGGATGCGTCTCGTTTTCCACTCAGATAAGTACAGGCATAAAAGGGTAAATCACCGCGTAGGCATTACATCTCTTACTTATACAGTGTGCCTTGTAAAGATATGTGTATTTTAAAGGTTTTAATAAACTGAATAATGGAACTGCCTCTTGGAATCACCACCTTCATCAACAAACTCTTAACCTCCCTTAAGCTCCGGCTACGCTACCATTTTTTACTATAATTAAGGGAGTGTTGATTTTATGGGGAAAAGCCCACTCTAATCTTATAGGGGGAAATATAAATCGGTTTTAATCTAAGGGCATCAATGGGAGTAACGCTACAGGTTGGTGATAAGAGGGTGAAGGACGGCGGAAGGATCGGTAAGGGAGGGAGGGTCGGGATACAGGGGAAGGGTCGGTCACGGTGGTAGGGTCGGTCACGGGGGAAGGATCGGTCACGTGATCATGGTGGACCACGGGACGAGGGCGGGCCAAGCGATAGGGGGAGGCCCCGTGATAACGGTGGGCCCTGGTGGCAGGCTTGGGCATGGCACGAGCCGATCCAAGGCCATACAGGGCCATAGCCACGGTGTTTCCATTGACCTGACCGCTGTGATCCTTAAAACGAAGTCTGGCATTCGTGTAGTCCTTTTTAGTTTGATAGTTTGTTCTTCTTACATATATCATCACTCAGACAAATAGACAGAACCTAAGCCTAACTAGGACGGAAAGTGGGCCGTTCCCTTTTCCCATAAAAATGTTCATATTTATTCATTTTTGTTCTACACGATCTTACACCACGTCAATATAACGACTGTCTATAAGCATGCGTGTGTACTTGTGTCCATAAACGTGTGTGTGTTTACGTGTGCATGTACGTATGTATCTATAAACGTCAAAACGTCAAAATAACGACTGATAAATGATATTTCAGTAAGAAAGATAATAATCGAGAAAAGTGAACACATCCTCATAGAATAACAAGTTACTTTAGTGATGATTGTAAGAAAGGGATATCTAGTCCACAAATTGGTAATAGAAATCCCAGATAAATCTCCTAATAATATGTACTTTCCTTAAATTCTAAACTTTCGCACTTACATATTCCCCATATATTGTATTATACCAGTTCAACTGCCATATAAGAGGCAAACCGCTTCTCCATTTACTTGATACTGTATTTACGTAATATTTATATATATCTAGTGTATTGTTAGTTATGGTATATGTATATACATACACACATATATATATGACGTACGCCGTGGTGCAATGGTAACGTGTGTGCCTATGGACCATGGAGATCGATCACCCAGTGCGCGCGCGTTCGCTTCAGTTTTTGTATCTGCATGTGTTTGCGTGAGTGCGTCTGACAATATATGGGGAATATGTAAGTACGAAAGTTTAGAATTTAAGTTAAGTGCGAATTATCAGACAATTTATCTGGGATATCAATTACCAGCTTGTGAACTAGATATCCCTTTCTTGCCATAGCTATCACTGAATTAACTTGTTATTCTATGAGGATGTTTTCCTTTCTCGATTATTATCTTTATTACTGATATATCATTTATCAGCATGGATTTCATTGTCATTTCTTCAGACGATGCCCTTTGGTTTAACTACGATCCTGTCTGGCCTTCTGGATTCAGATCGTGCTATCTTACCCTAAAGTAAAATGAAAAGAAAAGAAAAGAATAGAAAAAAAACGAAGCTAAAAGAAAAGAAAAGAAAACGAATACAGATAATAGAAAATAAAAGAAAACGAAAAAGAGTGAAAGAAAGACCACGAGAAGAGCAGCCTCTCCACTCTA